ATCCCGCGACCTGCGGGTCCGCAGCCGAGTACCTTAGCCACTAGACCACCTCGGCGGGGTTTATTTATTTATTTATTTATTTATTTATTTATTTATTTATTATTTATTTATTTATTTATTTATTTATTGATACTGCTATCTCACACGAGATACTACAGAAGGGTAGAAATTGCAATCATGTATACTGCAAGGTTAATACGACTTTAAACAAGAACAAAAATACGTAAGCAAATTGTAGTTCTCAGAATTACGGAAGAAAAAAGAGAGAAAAACTGATACAAAATATCAACGAAAACATGATCAGCCATAGCGACGAAATACCATTCAAAACATAGAGAATAATAAATATAACAGAAACCAAGTAACATATGTAGGTATTGGAAAACATGGGCGTTAATTCTAATAAACCCCTTTTTTCAAAACTGTAAACTTAGCTTTTTTGCTATGCAGTGTCAACTACCAATGGCGGCTATAGTCACTTACTGCAAATAGCCTATTCAAGCGCGGTTTGCTTACGCAACGACGTGGAAAATGTAGAGTCGGTTGTCTTGTTAGAGACACTCGTAATAGGCGAGCCAGGGCGCGTTCAACTAGGACCGCGTCTCCGCTCTAATCGGGACAGGTGCCGCCATTGCTTGAGCAAATGAGCAGTGTAGAGAAGCGCACTGGCGAATTATGAAAAGGGTCCATTTCAAAGGCCGAAGAAAATTCCGCAGTTTAAAAACGAGTCAAACACGTGAGGCGATGGCTGCAAGAAGGCGTCGTTAGTTGGGTTGTTCCACTCCCTGACCGTGCTCGGGAAAAAAAAACATGAATACGTGAGACAATTCGTGCGTGTTCGAATCAGGGAGGGTTGAAGAAAAATTGCTGGTGTGGAAGCACCCGCAATGCCTTGCCAGCAGAAGTGAAGCCCCCTTGTGCCACAGCCAAGATGGCGGAACATGCTGATAGTGCACACTTGAAGATCAAGTGGCTCTGATCTGTTATGTAATGCTATGTTAGTTCTGTCTTGAAAGATAGTTGTCCCGACGATATAACACACAGAAACTAGTATGGATGACGAATCTTCAAACAACTTCGCCTGCATCAGAGGCTCACTAAGGAAACTAGTAACTGTAAGACGCTCTTGAGCAAGGAAAAGTAGTCACTGTAAGTTGCACTTTGAGCACTATGTGACCCGAAAAAGTTCCACATCAAACTCGTTGGGCGTGGGAGGGAAACGCTTGGTATTAACGCTGAATGTTGATAATTATCATGCCCCTAGTAAGATGACCACCACAGCCGCCATCGTGCCAGAGGAACGGCTTCACGTTTGCGCAATCCTTTTCCACTCCAGCAATATTTTTAATCCCCCTTGCTTCGTATAGGGTGTGATAGAGAGATTAAGGCGCTGCCTCGTCCGGCTACCAGAGGGGGGGGGGGGGCAGTCATACGCGAAAACCCACTCGCCGGCGAGCATACACAGAAGTGTGGCCCTCCAGGATTCGCCGATTGACACGCGTTTTTCGTACGTGCCCTTTACAATAATTGACTATCTATCTAGATGGCTTTTCGGCCACCAGCTGTCGCAGCAGAATTGGTCAGATTGAATGATTGATGTGTGGGATGACGATAGTTATAGCGCGAAAACAAAACGACGACACAGAGACAAGAAGGGCACGAAAGACCGAGCGCTCGTGTCTTTCGTGTCCTTCTTGTCTCTGTGTCGTCGTTTGTTCTCGCGCTATAACTATCGTCATGCCATACCAACTAGCCCAAGCTGCCACACTTCTATGATATGTGGGTTTAACGTCCCAAACCACCATATGATAACAAAAAGACGCTGTAGTGGAGAGCTCCGGAAATTTCGACCACCTGGGGTTCTTTAACGTGCACCCTAATCTGAGCACACGGGCCTACAACATTTCCGCCTCCATCGGAAATGCAGCCGCCGCAGCCGGGATTCGATCCCGCGACCTGCGGGTCCGCAGCCGAGTACCTTAGCCACTAGACCACCTCGGCGGGGTAGAAATTGGTCAGGAAAAAAAAAAATCAGGAAAAAGAAAGCCCCGCTAAGCAATCCGAAATACGCAACTGTGCCGATCGTTAAATAAGGGAGCTTTAGAACAGCGTACGCGAAGCCTCGCGCTTACGTTGCGCACGCGTAGTACGCCAACCTCTCGCGGGCTCCCTTCGAGTGACGGCCGCAACGCTACGCCCGGTTTGGGTTATAGGGCTATTGCAAAACCCTGTGTTATAAGAATGGTTGGCATTTTAAGTCCTCAAACCACGATATGTGTATACGAAACACTGCAGTGCAGGGCTCCGCAAGTTTCGACCACGTGGTGTTCTTTGACGTGCGCTGACGTCGCGCAACACGCGGGCCTCCAGCGTTTTCGTCTCCGTCGAAAATGCGGCCGGGATGCGATCCCGCGACCTGCTCGTCAGCAACCCAACACCGTATTCAACGGACGACCATGGTGAGTTAGCTGTGTTTCTTACTGCTTGCGTTTAATGTGCACTGCTCATACTTATTTATTTATTTATTTATTTATTTATCTTTCTTTCTTTCTGCTTTACTTCTTTTTCTTCATTTTTTTCTTTCGTTCTTTCTCCTTCCTTTCTTTCTTTAATTTTCTCCATTCATTCTTTTTTTCTTTCTATCCTTCTTTACTTTCTCTTTTTTTTACACTGCTCCTATGAACGGCAATGTCCACCCTTTCTTCTTTAGTACAGCGTAAAACTATAGGCAGCTTGACACTCCTAGTCATTCGCATTGTATTAGTGTTATTTGTTATTTGCATTACATTACTGTTCGGTGAGGAAAAGGATAAGCACTACACGCTAAATGCAAATAATAACGGGCACAATGGGTATTCCGCCGATACGCCCTCTTTTTTCTTTTTTTCAAGGTCGTAGTTCTTAAACCCATGGGTCTGTCCATGCATGTCTTTTGTGACCAGTTCGTAACGACCTAGTTGTATGACTCAATCGGCAGGTGGCACTAGTGTGAGTGACAGACAGACAGACACAGACAGACAGACAGACAGACAGACAGACAGACAGACACAGACAGACAGACAGACAGAGGGACAGACAGACAGACAGACAGACAGACGGACGGACGGACGGACGGACGGACGGACGGACGGACGGAAGGACGGGCGGATGGATGGACAGACAGACGGACAGACGGGCGGACGGACGGACGGACGGAAGGACGGACGGACCTCATTTCTTATGGCTGCAATGTGCAGCACACGCTTTCGAAATACGCACTCCGTTGTATCCATATGCAACCTGCCACGATCCGAGGGACGTGCACAGACTTGGTGTTTGCAAACTTCATACTGCAGCAAGTACAAAAACCTTTCTCGCTTCAATTCACGGTCCATGAAGCCGTAAGAATGAAGGGACCTCGCCATAGAGTTTCTCACAATCTTACCCAGAGGGAAATCTGGCGCTAGTGAGCTGCTGGATGCAAAGGAATGATGGGATACGTGAGCTTCGAACTTGACTCAGATTCGTATTCCTCGAAGACGCGTCTGGCATCACGTTAAATGATTAATTTCTTAGTAAAATAGCACGTAATAAGCTATTTATTTTTTGTCATTGCACAGAAACGTGTTTTATTTAACGCTAAAACCTTCTACGTTGACGTACAATTTTACGAAGCATTTGAAGTAAGTAAGGGCCGCTAAACTTGGAGGCAGACGACAAAGCGAGCGTTCTTTCCGCCACTTTTATGTCGTCTGTTTCTTTCCTTTGCCGTTTGGTTGTGCCGTCAAGATTAGTGGACATTTATTTTAGAATATAATACGCGTGAATGAGATCCGCTAATAAAAAAAGTTTGAGAAAAGCTCTATTTACGTAGTCGTATTCGCTTTTAAGCCGAAGCCCCGCTCAACACCAGCAAACACAAGCCTCGCAGACACACATACCGTCATTCCCAGGGCTCCAACATCGCCCCTTAAGAAATTCGCATAGACGGTGGCGCCACACTTTCCTCTAGGTATTTGTGAGAAACTCTATAGACTTCGCCATCAAGCCGCCATGACAACGAAGAAATGAAATGAGCAAAGCAAACAACAAACGAACAAGAACAACGTAAAATTTGATATGTATAATATATGCGCAGTCTTTCGTCTTTCTAATGATGCAGTGGGCTAACTTTTCACGGGGGAGTCACGGTTTACCGATGATATCCCCCGCTCGAGCTCCGCCCACTTACCACCATTCATTCCGTGGATATGGCGGAATACTTTTGTTTCAAAGTTCGCCACATGAGCTTACCGGTCTGATGTCGCCTCAATTACGACAATTAACATCTGAAGCTTCATGTTTTCATGTTCTTTGTAGATTAGGAAAAATACGTGCGTGCCGTAAATTGCCACGTCCTATGAGTTTTTCAATATAAACGATTCTCTTCGGGTTAATAATAACTAAGTTAATTAGCAATTTCCCTTGATTGCTGATATAATATCTAACTTAGGTGCGGCAATGTTTCACCGTCTCGGCATAAAATTTGTCTGCGAAGACTACAGAGGCGTGACGATGGCAGCATTTTCATTTTTAAAAATTGGCAGATCCCACGTACAGTGGGAATCGATGATATGCGAAGCACGAAACAGGAAGTTTGACATATCACTTTAAAATCAACACAAGGTTACGAGGCGGGCGTAAATTATGCCGTACATGACTTCCATGTCATGGTCATGTTTGCACCGGGCAGTTTTTTTTTTGTTCGTCGTCGATTCCCGTCACGTCATACTAAACTTGGAGGCAGACGACAAAGCGAGCGTTCTTTCCGCCACTTTCATGTCGTCTGTTTCTTACCTTCGCCGTTTAGTTGTGCTGTCAAGGTGAGTGGACTGTTATTTTAGAATATAATACGCGTGAATGAGATCTGCTTTTAAACATTTTGTTTTACAAAAGCTTTATTTACGCAGCCGTATCCGCGTTTGAGCCGACGCCTCGCCTAACACCAGCCAACATAAACCTCGCAGACACACATACCATAACGGGTGTTCTGTGCCATAACTCTATGCACATACCGTCATACCCAGCCACGGAGTGTTCCCAGCGCTCCAACATCGCCCCTTTAGAAATTTGCATAGACGGTAGCGCCACACTTTCCTCTAGGTATTTGTGACAAACTCTATGACACCTACTAACGGGGAGACGCGCATCTTCCTTTCACATCGACAATAACCTTTTCTTGGATATTTCATGTTACGCATGTATGCTTCCGCGATATGTAGTCCGGTGCAATATGCACCTGTTTCGGTTTTGATTTTTCTGTCTGTACGGGAAAAATACAAATACATTTTTTGCGTTTTTTTTTTATTTAAAGACCATCTAGCAAAGGCTGGAAATTTCGCTTGCGCTATCGCTCGGAGGTTAATTATTTGTGAAAAGCAGCTGACCACTTCAGCCCACAAAACAGTGACGAAATCGCCACGCATGGCATTACACGTGCGTAAGTGATTCCTAAAAGATAGAAATGAAGAGAAACGTGAGCCCCGTAACTGTCTGCATTATAGTGCGACACCTCAACACTGACTAACGGGAACGGGGGTAAGGAGGAAATAAACAAATATGGAGGAATAAAAGGGATAGGGTTAGATTAGGGGCAGCGACAGAGAGACCCACATACAGAAGTAAGGAGAAGATGGGAAAGATGGACACGGTCGCAAGAGTTCCAAAACGGGGCACCAATCAGCGAGAGCTTCACGGCGTCAGGAGATGGCGTAGGGCGAGCCGGTCGGCCAGAGCTGCGCTGTCGTCGGAGATCGCGGGGGCACAATCAGTCGTCACGAAATCCAGCGAGCGAGTTCCCCCGCACGCGTACACCGCACTTGCAACTGCGGGAGAGAGCTACGCGCGAGGAGGATGGCAGCCAACACAAGCTCGAGACGTGGGTGGTTGCTGACATTCAAACCAAGCTGATACAGATACCGCGAGGTGTGGCGTTTCACGTGCAGTTGCTCGGCACAAATATTAAAACTGATTTCTTAAATCTGCACTAGGCAACTATATTAGCCGTCGATGTTTTGTAGATGACGCGTGTGTATTGCACAGATCTACCTCATAAGTTATTTCGCGTTCAAAACTTTGTGTCAATACTCATTGCGGTTAGATGCATGATTGATTCTGAGCTCGTGACATCAATCGTCTTACATGTTTTCACCCCCTTTTTATTTTACAGTTCGAACCACCACTTCAGAATATGCCACCAAACTTTGACTGTGAACTTGTGCCCGAGTGTTCCATGAATCAAATCAGCCTGAACATCTTTATGCGAGGGTGGTGAAACACTTGTGCATAACATCACAACATCAATCTGATGGCCAGGGAAGCATAAAACCAAGGTTGCAAAAAAACACACCAGAGTCAAACTTGGCCTCGGAATCAGGAAAGACATTCGCCACCTATGCCAACTCCTCCATGGAAGTCAACATATGTCGACCAGAAAACACCTGGGGACATAATGCATGATCACGAAGTGCCAAAAAAAGCACAGCTCATGGAAATGCAACGTCCTGCAAACAAGCAATCCCACATCTGCTGCTTCTGCTTCAAGTCGTTTGCCAATAACAGCAATCTTCAACGCCACGTTCGTACTCGGTGCAAATATCGCTGTGCTGAAGTTTTACCCAATGGCACAGGTGTCGTCAAGCACAATTATCCAGTGCAAGATGTTAGTTGTAAAATGCTCATTTGTGACCGGTGTTCCAAAGGCTTCTCCAGAAAGGCAGATTTCGATCGACACAATGACCTAGAACACAGAGACGGGCAGACCAGCCACAGCTGCTACTTGTGCCCTGAAGCCTTTGACGATGTGTTGTCTCTACGGACCCACCTCAATGCCCACATGTCAGACTCAAACAAGCTACGTGCCGATAACCTGAAGCGTGAGAGCGACGAACAGCAGGATGACTGTTTGCCAGAACCGCAGTACAGCTGCAACATCTGCAGCGTAATGTTTGCCGACGAATACGCCCTTGCCGAGCATGTACTGATCGCACATTCCCTCGAGCTGCTGTGCATGGATAAGAAGCCACTGTTCAGTAAGCATTGTGCAGATGAATGCGAGGTGATGGACGACTTTGACAATTCAGTCCTTGAGTTGACGGCCATGCCGTCGCATGATTGCAACCTTTGTGCCGAGACCTTCAAGGATGCATCCGGCCTTGCAGAGCACATCGAAAACAACCATTCAAGGGCGAGTTCTTCTCTGGACAAACAACAGGAGGATAATGCAAATCATCATGAGGGGACATCTGTGACGATGGCGACTCGCCAGGTAAAGGAGCCCATAACTCCCATTCACCTCGAAGACGCGTCTGGCATCACGTTAAATGATTAATTTCTTAGTAAAATAGCACGTAATAAGCTATTTATTTTTTGTCATTGCACAGAAACGTGTTTTATTTAACGCTAAACCTTCTACGTTGACGTACAATTTTACGAAGCATTTGAAGTAAGTAAGGGCCGCTAAACTTGGAGGCAGACGACAAAGCGAGCGTTCTTTCCGCCACTTTTATGTCGTCTGTTTCTTTCCTTTGCCGTTTGGTTGTGCCGTCAAGATTAGTGGACATTTATTTTAGAATATAATACGCGTGAATGAGATCCGCTAATAAAAAAAGTTTGAGAAAAGCTCTATTTACGTAGTCGTATTCGCTTTTAAGCCGAAGCCCCGCTCAACACCAGCAAACACAAGCCTCGCAGACACACATACCGTCATTCCCAGGGCTCCAACATCGCCCCTTAAGAAATTCGCATAGACGGTGGCGCCACACTTTCCTCTAGGTATTTGTGAGAAACTCTATAGACTTCGCCATCAAGCCGCCATGACAACGAAAAATGAAATGAGCAAAGCAAACAACAAACACGAACAAGAACAACGTAAAATTTGATATGTATAATATATGCGCAGTCTTTCGTCTTTCTAATGATGCAGTGGGCTAACTTTTCACGGGGGAGTCACGGTTTACCGATGATATCCCCCGCTCGAGCTCCGCCCACTTACCACCATTCATTCCGTGGATATGGCGGAATACTTTTGTTTCAAAGTTCGCCACATGAGCTTACCGGTCTGATGTCGCCTCAATTACGACAATTAACATCTGAAGCTTCATGTTTTCATGTTCTTTGTAGATTAGGAAAAATACGTGCGTGCCGTAAATTGCCACGTCCTATGAGTTTTTCAATATAAACGATTCTCTTCGGGTTAATAATAACTAAGTTAATTAGCAATTTCCCCTTGATTGCTGATATAATATCTAACTTAGGTGCGGCAATGTTTCACCGTCTCGGCATAAAATTTGTCTGCGAAGACTACAGAGGCGTGACGATGGCAGCATTTTCATTTTTAAAAATTGGCAGATCCCACGTACAGTGGGAATCGATGATATGCGAAGCACGAAACAGGAAGTTTGACATATCACTTTAAAATCAACACAAGGTTACGAGGCGGGCGTAAATTATGCCGTACATGACTTCCATGTCATGGTCATGTTTGCACCGGGCAGTTTTTTTTTTGTTCGTCGTCGATTCCCGTCACGTCATACTAAATTTCGTATATGTGAAGCTAGCGAAACGACCGCAAGAGCGTCAAGAGCGTGGCATGTAGTCATGTTCTTACATGACACGCGTGTCATGATTTCAATACGGCGGCTTCTCACTTGTGTTCGCCATGCAGTGATGTCATACCATACTAGTTTTTCGATATGTCATGTGAACGGAACCACCACAGGAGCAGCAAAACCATGACATGTAAATCATGACATCCATCACACACATGCGACGATTTTCATGTTATGACTAGTAAGTTACGCTCGTCATACTGTCATGTTTTGCCATACCAAATTTGGTATAGATCCCATAATCCAAACGGCCAGGAGAGCGAAATGTCGTAGGCGGCTAGACAGACATTGGTTAGACAGACAGACAGACAGACAGACAGACAGACAGACAGACAGACAGACAGACAGACAGACAGACAGACAGACAGACAGACAGACAGACATTGGTTAGACAGACAGACAGACGGGCGGACAGACAGACAGACAGACGGGCGGGCGGACGGACAGACAGACAGACAGACAGACAGACAGACGGGCGGACAGACAGACAGACAGACAGACAGACGGGCGGACAGACAGACAGACAGACAGACAGACAGACAGACAGACAGACAGACAGACGGGCGGACAGACAGACAGACGGGCGGACAGACAGACAGACAGACAGACAGACAGACAGACAGACAGATAGACAGATAGATAGATAGATAGATAGATAGATAGATAGATAGATAGATAGTAGATAGATAGATAGATAGATAGATAGATAGACAGACGGGCGGACAGACAGACAGAGAGACGGCGGACAGAAAGAAAGAAAGAAAGAAAGAAAGAAAGAAAGAAAGAAAGAAAGAAAGAAAGAAAGAAAGAAAGAAAGAAAGAAAGAAAGAAAGAAAGAAAGAAAGAAAGAAAATGTGGGCAGCCAGTGATAGCGGTGAAAGGCTGGACTAAGAGCAGAGCTTCTCGCCGACTTGGCTCCTCTCGTCTTCTACAAGCTCGAATAAGCCGTTCACAGGTTGGAGAGGCACTGCTGGAGTGTATAACTATGTTGCTAGGCGAAGTGTCACCGCTACGGGAAGTGAACGATTAATATTGTTGTTTACCTAATTAGTGTCCTAATTAGCAATGCATTTATTTGCGTGATTTCCTTTATTATTATTATTATTATTATTATTATTATTATTATTATTATTATTATTATTATTATTATTATTATTATTATTATTTATTGGACGCCACCTCCCAATACGACGGTGCAGGCGACAGTGGCATGTGGGTCACCAGAATGGCGATGCAGCAGCGAACACCAGAGCGGCTTCCCTGTTAACGGTGACTTGGCAATTCCGGCCTCTACAAAGCACTGCACACACTTAGACCTCTTCAATCTCTACTACCGAAGACGTCGCGTCAACGACGTCTTCAAGACTAGTCCCCTCGGGGACGACTCGAACTGGTATAGCGCATTACGGGGAAGAAGAAACGGCCGAGCAGACCGACACAAGAGGAGGACAGAGCGCTAACTTCCAACTGAGCTTTATTGTCAAACTGCATCAAATATGTAGACCGGCGCAAAACCACCCAACGCAACGACAAGATTACACACAACATCGCACCGTCACATATCACAGATTCATGGGCGGTTATCATTATCATGACGACAACGTCCAAAGGCTAGCGCCTTCTTCGGAGGCTGGCTTGTCACGACGGGCATCCGCCAGCCCGGGGTCGCTCTGGGACGCTACCAAAGATGGAACTGACGAGCCAAAGCCACTTCAAGTAAAAGCGGTCTAAGAGAATGTTGTGCAATAGCATGGAGAGTCGTCACTGAAAAAAAAAAAACAAGCAAGTTTATTGCATACGAGTACCATGATGTTACTCGCATGCAATAATGAAGTGATCTTACTAACGTCACTTGGGAGATACAACTGTGTTCAAAAAGAGTTGTTAACGATTAAGAGTACTTGTAACTCTACTATGGGAGCGCATATAGCCGTCCCTGCAACTATAACGGCAGCAAAACAGTATGCAGTGGAACCAACATAACGTCAGCCCTGCTAACACAATCCCTCCGCAAAGCCGTCGACATTGCTCTGGGTGCGCTATCAGTTTCCTCCTCTACAGTTATCCAGGATCGTCAATTCTCACAGTGCTAGACAAACATTCTTGGTCTGCATTACCCTTCCTCTGCCCCTTTTAGATCAGGGATCTCGAATTTTCTCTGCTACCGGCTGGCAATCACGAAATTTAATCCCACGGCAGTAACGAGTTGAAGGGGGGACTGTGTGTTGGTTGCCCTATATAGTCTCACAGGGACGGCTATATGCTCTCCCATAGTAGAGTACCAAGTACTCTAAGTCGTTAACAACTTTTTTTAAACACAGCTGTATCTCCCAAGTCACGTTAGTAAGATCACTTCATCATTGCATACGAGTAACATGATGTTACTCGTATGCAATAATGGTAGATGACGTCGAAAACGTTTCGTAGTACACTGGTGCACGATTTTGAGGTCAGCACAACTGGCCCGAGACGTCAGCGACGTCCTTTCTGTTTTGCCGGGTCGAAATCTTCAGAACGTCGTCTTCTTCGTGGCGTGGTAACTCGACTGGCGGGCTACCATGTCGTTTGGACAGAAGTGACGGCAACTATAGTGATAGTCACCCATAGATGCTCGTGTAGCTTTAGGATATGGTAAGTCAGCTGCCGTCCTTGATTGTCTAGCAACACTTCTATTATCTCTTATACATTAAAGATTGCGTTGTCTAGCTTTGCCGTCACTGTATTTCTCGTTGCCGCAAAACACATGTCCCGGTGGTGTTAAGGAAGTTGTGAGTTGCCCAATAAAAATCGCCGCTTGTGCATGCGCTGTGCAGACAACCATGAGTATGATGATTTGTGGGGTTTAACGTCCCAAAACCACCATATGATATGTACAACGCTGATATGTACAACGCCCCCTGGGGGCCAGAGAACCAGTTCCAAAACCGGAACTGTAACCACGACACCACACCCTGGCTACCAAGTGCTTCAAGATATGTCCACCGTCGATCCCTCGAAGCACGACAAGAAGAAAAGAAGGAAGACTTTCGTATTGAAGTCGTCATTCTGTAGTCACACGAGCAGCACTGGACCGGCCTTCAGAAACTCACCGTCGTCGTTCAACAACACGCAACCTTCCACAACTCTTTGCAGGCCTTCTCGCGACTCGACCGCGGGAAGAAGATTCATATGGGTGTCAGAACGACTGCACCGGGAATGCGATGGGTCCAACCACCAGTCTACCGGCGCCTCTGTCGAGGTCAAGGTTCGAGAACTCCAGCGAGAAGTCACAAGTTCGAACTTCGGCCTTCATTGGCGTCGTCGATTCCTCGAAGCGCCACAAGAGGAACAATAGGAACAAGACGGCGAAGTCGTCGATCTGAGTTCACACGAGCAGCGGTAGGGCCGGCCGCAGAAGCTCACCATCGTCCAACACGAAAGCAAACCTTCCAGAACTCTTCGGAAGTGTCCTCGCCACTCAACCGCAGAAGACAAATCGCCATTAGTGTTACGGCGACTGTTGCGGAAATACAACGGGTCAGACCACCACAGTTCGCTGGTGTTGCCGATAAGGTGAATGTTTGAGGACTGCAGAGAGAGCAGAACGCCAAGCCACGAGCTCGAATGCCAGCGTTCACCAATATCGAACCCTACCACGCTTACGAACAGCAGGAAATGCCGACTATGGGCGCCCGAAGTCGTCCCTGCCGCAGAAGGCATCCTCTCGTCTGAGAAGCCAGAT